AAACAAAACTTCATCTTTAATTATTCATCAAATTTACAGTTGACTACAAATTAATTTGCTGGCACTTTAAAAAAATGCTGAATCCCGGACAGTTTTTTTTTGTCAATCTGTACCCACCACTACCTTCCTTACACTCAGTTATTTTTCATTTCCAGTAATTTGTCGTATAAGTTATTATACTGTCTATTAATAATTATGACTGCAGCTTAATATCATCAATCTCTATTAAAGGATATCGCACGAAACTTGCTTATTCAAAAACATTTTTGTCATACTTGTAATATGTTTCTAACTCTAAAATATATAGTTTCATATCACGATGAAACCTATTAACTATTATTTAGTATTTTGCTGTGGCCATGCGCAATGATTTAAAAAAAATTTATCTATGAGTTAGTGTTAAATATGTTATTATTATTATTATTATTACTGTTGTTGTTATTATCATTAATTTTACTAATTCGATCCATTTGTGCCGCAAAGTCAAATCATTTTTATCATTTTTTTGCAACAAGTTTGGTAAGATAAGGAAACAATAACTTGCGTTATATTATAACGAACTAAGATGTACATGTATTTCTAATACCTAGTAATAAGTGATTACTGTAATGTTGAAAAATGGAAGGAGGGATTGAAGATGAGAAATTAGGAATAATTGCTCCCCTCTCCAGTTCAGGGACTCGAGAGAAGGGCTATATGCATTGTAAGTTGTTTGGAAAAAGTTTATAATCAATAAAATTAAGTCACGTGTTTAAATTTGTTTTAGCAGTTATTAAAAAGTCCATCCTTCAAAGTAGCTATCTGAATATTCACAGGAAAGCTGATGTCATCAGTCAATCATACAAACTACTGGCGGATGGTATCTCGTATGAATACGTGGAATCCGGTTACTTTCAAGTGTTTTTTAATAATTATTGAACCCACCTAATATGATTTCTTCAACGTATACTAGGAGCCCCCCACATAGTCCATCAGAGCCAGGGATTTATTTTTAAAAAATTTTTACTCTAGTCCTATTACAGAAGTATCCTGATCCTTCAAGTAATCTCTTTAGGAGTACATTATTTTATATAATATAGGAGAGTATCATTTTAGGAGTGCTTTAAAGGATATACATCAACAAATGATGGTGAATCTTGTTGGTATTGTTTAATGATAAACATCAGCACAAGACTGCATTCGTGGATATAGTTACTCTAGCATACATGATAACCATGGGTTCCAAATAGTTAAATGCAGAATATCAGATAAATATAGGATCTAGGTATAGCCTACAGTACTCTATTCAATAATACTATGTATATTCGCATGAAAATCTACATGAGTATTAGGTGTGATAAAAAAGACAAAAAAAAAATTACTTGTGGATAATTTAGATTAACGTTATTTATCGCCAAGCTTCGGAGTATAACTAGAACCAAAACCGTTAAAAACTCGTTAACAATTTGTTTAAAAAAATGTACTTATATTACAATTGACTTTATTAATCAATTCTAGTCTATTAACGTGTAGTTCAGTACGTACCATACGCAGCTCGATTAGTGAATGTACTAACATACACAACGTTTTTAACATTAACCTATTTATGGTATACAGTAACGATTTTTCGAAAGTATATTATCTATTGTGCACTTATCTAAATTAGGATATAGTTTTCTATATCTATCCAGGTTTGATAAATATTTTAAAATGAATTTTCATACATATTACGGGTCTACTATCGTAACAACCACCTTTTATGAGCAACAGTTTCAACAATTCATTAAGTTTAAATAAAAAACATTTTTCTGGTAAAATTTTAAATCAATGTATAAGGCAATGCACGTAGTTCTGATCACTTAAACATCTATTACTGATGAGCATTCTAATAGTTTTTTTATTGAGAATCATATATTAATCGATATTAAAACGTATCTGAAACTGATAACATTCCTAGAATAAATAACGTAATGCACACAAAAAAAAAAAAATATAAGTACTGGTAGTTTTCTGTACAAAAAGACTATGAGCAGAAATAGAGACATGATCAGAAATAGACATGCTTATCTTAGTGGGATGTTTTGATCGTTCTTATCTCCTTTAATCGCTGCAATCACTTGCTTTACCTGAAAATAGTCAAGTGTATGATATCATACTTATTATTTAATCAAACAAAAATTTTGCGTTCAAACAAGGATAAAAAAGTAAAATTTAACGCGGATTATTACTTAAAAGTTTCTGTATACGGGGGGAAAACAGTACTTATTAAGCAGACGTGGATGTTTACACGGGAAACCTTTTATGATACGGAAAACATTTGAACAACGAGCCGGAGATTCTAAAAGTGCAGGTATGAGAGCGAGATTGTAAAATCAAAGCAGTACAGAGAACCAGAGAGAGGAATATGCAATAGCTGGACTGAAACTTTTGTAATTTGCCGGATGCTCACGCGTGTACTCGAGTCGTCGCTCTGCATTAAAGTTGCGCCTTTTTTTCTTTTTTTCACTTGTCGCGGAAAGTTGAAAAATCATCAGAGTTGAAACAGAGGCCGTTAGCTGGTGCATGAATTATAAAAACGAACGGCTGAAGTTTAAACAAGTCGTATTTTTGTGGAAATTTGAAATGATCGTTGTAGGAATAGCCTCTTTGTTGGAGCAGTGACTATTTTTATTTTATTTTATTTGTTATTTATTTCATGGCAAAACATGAAAAAATGTTACTACGTTAATGCACTTGAACTCTCAAAATAAGTAACAATGAAAATTCATCATTAATGTATGAAATAAATTACAGCCACAACGTTGTACTGAAAATGAAGTTATTATCACAATGTTGTAAAACTAAACTCACAGTACATACTATGAAAAGTGAAGTTTCAAGTATTTTCAAACCTTTTTTTTTGAAAACAGAATCAACAAAATGCACTCAAATTCAGCAATGTGGTAGTTTTTTCCAAATATTAACTAGGATTGTTTCTACGCAAGAATTCATTGTGGAGGGTACTATAACGTGTTTCGAAACAAATATTTTTCTAACTGTACTCTCACGTTTGACGTCATTACAAAAGAGGGAATCCCCAATTCTGTAAAAAATACGTTCATGCTGGAGCTCGGCATTTGTAATTGAATATTTAATCGGCAGGTATAACAGTTTCTAATGATGGATGCAAAGACAGGTTGAATAATCAATTAGCATATATATATATATGCGCAA